ATCTTTTTGAGACAGGGTCTCCCTGTAGTCACAGCTGGCCTACAACTCATTATGGAGACCAAGCTGACCTTGATCGCACAGAGATCCTTTTGCCTCAGCCTCCTGGGCTGCTGGAATTAAAGTCATGAGCTGTGCCCACGCCCAGCTCAAACTTTTACTTTTAATATGTTTATTACCTCTTGCAATTTCTTGTAGAAATGGAAACCTTACTAGCACACAAGGAGAAAGACTTTGGCATGTAAAGCCATGATTTCTGATTATAGCTAAAGGTTCATTGAGAGAGTTTCCTGTGGGCAAGAGTCACAAGTGCCATTTCATTATTTACTGTCATTCTCAAAGTCTTAGTGTGGTAATAATTTTAAAATTGGGATATCTAAGGTGCCATAAACTTCAGGTTACATATAGTGTCTCCTTAACCTGATTCCCATTGCATTCTTAAAATTAAGACATGAGATTTGGGGAAGTGAATACTTCCTGTGAATAGAGCTTATGGGTAATACTTTAAGAAGCAAGGTATAGATCTTCATCAAAATAAGTGAAATACTTATAAAACAATATTTTAAAATTTAATTTTCTATTTGAAGAAACCTAAATGTGACTCAAAGTAAATTCTACATATTAGGACATTTAAAAGCTGGTGTAAGAGTATTGATTAAATGTCTTGCTTTTTTTTCCCCCTGTTTTTGATTTTTAAGACAGGGTCCACTATTTAGCTCAGGCTAGCCTGGAACTCTCCATCCTTGCACCTCAGCCTCCCAAGTGCTGAGATTGCAGACATGTGCCACAACTCCCAGACCCTTTCCTACCTTTAAGAATTATTATTACTGTTTCTGAATGCAATTATTAAAACTATACTCTTATGTTTCTTTACAAGCCTAATATACGTGTCTTTATTGCAATGTCAGATTATACTACATTCATTTATTGAGCTATTTTAGGAGTTTATTTGTATGTGTACTTATGCATACTGTATGTGACTTGAGGGAGAGAGTATATAACATACTTTACAAATGTGATTTTTATGAAATCTGATATGATGGGAAAATGCAAATTAGAATATACAATATGTGTAACAAATAAGGACATGGGTCAGCAATGTATTTCTATGATTGAGGCACACATATTTTATTTTCATAATTCTTTAGCAAATACACAAAGAAAAGATCAGCTACTTCTGTATTTCTCCCTGTGAAGTTTCTAAGGAAATCAAGATTTAAATGAAAACTGTATTAATATAATCATGGCTTTATAGAAGTAAATAGACTTAATTTGTGTTATTTATTGGAAAGGCAATAGATTCTCAAGTTATAAGAAGTGGTGATGCTTATCTGTAATTCCAATATGTGGGAAATAGAGGCAGGAGGATCATATTTTCAAGGTCATCCTTAGCTACATAGTGAGTCTGAGGGTGGCCTGGGCTACAGGGGACCTGTGGGGGGGAGAGAGAGATAGAGGGAGAGAGATAGAGAGAGAAGGGAGGAAGGGGAAGAAGAGGAGGAGGAGGAGGAGAAAGAGAAGGAAGAGGAGGAGGAAAGGAGGAAAGTTTACTGCTTTGTCACAGATTAAGATGTGAATTCATGATATATAAATTTTCATTTGTCTTGAGTAAACAGGGATCCTGGATAAACAGTGATTGCATGGAAAAGATGGGTTCCAGGCGAGGAGACAGCCTGGCAGTGTCTGAACATGATGCCAAATGCCTCATTTTGAGAAAGAAGAATGATCTTCAAGGCAAAAATGAAATGAATCAAAGCAAGATGCTGAATGTGGATGGATGAATGATAAGCAGTAAAAGCATCTCATGTTTCTCTGCACAAGTCTCTTGGGAGCTATAGACACATTAGTTCAAGCCTGTTTCTCTTAAGAAAATTCAGCTTATTTATATCTATTCCCCCAATATAACTACAATAGTTTCTTTTATTTTAGAAGTGTTCTGGCTTGACCAAAACAGTTTATGTTAATCTCACCTCTTACCATCATCCAATTCAGCAGAAATTTCACTCAAAAACTGTCATGGCTTCCTTGTAGTGTGATTTCTGAGATTTTCTTTTGCTGGGCTGGCTGTTCACAATAACCATTCAATGTTTATTGTCTTCTTGGTAAGACTTCATCCTAGCCATCCTCAATTTGTGATGGTCAAGACTCCATCCTAGCTATCCTTAATTTGTGATGTTCAAGAGTCCATCCTAGCTGTCCTCAATTTGTGATGTTCAATCTTCCATCCTTGTGGTAGCACTTACTAAAAGTTTGCCTGCGATTCCACTGTGCACACTCAGTTACCTCCTTGGCACCTCCACTTGTGTTGTGGAAAAACTTGTGACTGATTTTGCCTTTTGCCTTACATACCTATCATGCTGGAATACATTGCTTCCTGTTTAGAAACTGAAATTTGTCATGCTAATAGGGCATCTGGCCTGCCAGACTGTAATAGGATACTAGTCTGCCATGCTAATAAGGGATCCCATATGCTTTGTTATGATTGGACTATTACCCTTATATAAGCCCGTACTTCCTTGCAATAAAGCAGATCTGTGTCACTGAACCTGGTCTCCTGTGCCTGAATGTGGCGATGCTGGCGTAGACTCCTCACCAGCCCTGGGGTCCGGACCAGACGACTGATCAGAAGAACTAAGAGAGCAGGAGAGCAGCCATAGCCAGCGACCACACACTTGGATGTCTCAAAGTAATTTCACAGAACTGTGTCCTCAAACTTATCTGTCCCATGCAGCTAAGGGTTCCCCTCTAGTGTAACCATGTTGATGAATGGTACCACTGATCTACTCTTATCTTATCCTATACCCTGGCCCTCTATCTCCATTTCCCTGTATTTCCAATTAATCATCAGATCATATCCAATTAAAGAATTTTGCTTTCTATACTTCCACAGCAGCACTTTTACTGAATTCCAACAATCTCCTTCTGCCTCACATATCCACGCTTGGCCCTTTAAACTTCTCCTCTCATAAAAGCCAGAGTATATTCTAGAAGTATGAGTATGAACATAAATTTTTCTGCTAAAACAAAGCAGGATAAAACAATGATTTCATTCAAAATAAAGACCAAACTAGTTTAACTTTGTGTAACTGTGCAGTATTTCACCTAGTGTTCAGCAGTTCCTCCTCTGCCATTTGCACAGATGTTATGTGTTCCTTTAAACCTTTCATGTCATGATTAGAGCACAGCTATCTCTTCCATTTTCTTTATATACTCAATTTAGTATTATGTATATTATTTTCCCAACTCAACCAAACAACCTTTTCTTATGGAAACCATCCATCATTCTCTTTAAAAAACAAAAAGAAACCTACCAGTTGAATATTCTCATAGAATCCAGTGTTTCCTAGCCATTATTTACACCATGGCTAAGTATATTATTGGATCATTATTTCACTTATTCTTTCAATAAACAACATACACTATATCAGGTATATTTTTGAAGCTGTGATTATACTATTAAATCTATGTACCAATCATCTATTTTTCCATCCATATTTAGCATTTATGACAATTATGAAGTAACTTTTGCAAGTGTATGAATAAATTAACAAAAGAGCTACCATTTCAGTTAATATTAATTTTTAAAAAAGATTTATTTATTTTTATTTTACGTCTGTTAGTGTTTTGCCTGCATGTATGTAAGTGTATCATTTGCATGCAATACCTGCAGAAACCAGCAGAGGGCGACATATCCCCTGGAACTGGAGTTGGTTGTTGGAAACTGAACCCAGACCCTTTGGAAAAGAGGTCAATGCTCTTAACCACTGAGCTGTCATTCTAGCCCAATATTAATTTCTTTAAAAGATGGTGGCTTGAGAGACAGCTTAGTGGTTAAGAGTACTAGCTGCTCTTGCAGAAGACCCGGGTTTGATTTCCAACACAAATATGACAGCTAACGACCATTTGTAACTCCAGTTCCAGGGGATTCAACACCTTTTTCTGACCTCTGTGGGCAATGTACAACATGGGTATACTTACATACATGTAGGCAATACACTCATACATATAACAATACAAATACTAAATAAAAAAATATATTTTTAAAAAGATGCTGAATATGGACACTAGGAGGATGGCTCAGCAGGTAAACATACTTCTGTCAAACCTGACGACCTGAGTTTGAACCTTGAAATCTACATAGTGGGAAGGACAGAGCTGACTCTGAAATGTTGTCCTTTAACCTCCTCTCATAGGCCATGGTGCATTTTTGCACACACATACACTCACACACACACACACACACACCATATACTCTCACACACACATTAAATACATGTTAAAAAGTTTATAAAAAGATGCTGAAGAATGGAGTGAAACTGAGCAGAAGCACAACCTAAAGAGACCTTTACGATCCAAGAGTCTGAGCATTTTCTGTCCCCACATAAAAAATTCAAGTATTGCCATGTGTGTCTTAAGATGATGTTTCCGTCAATAAGGATGCACACATTAAAGTGTTCCCATCACAGTCCATCACCAGGTGACAGTGCAGCTGTTCTAGTTCGTATTAATATGTTGCTATGATGGTTGTCCAATCAGGAAATGATATACCAACTGACACAGGACATACACACACACACACACACACACACACACACACACACATGCACATACACACACATACCTTTGCAATGCTATTTTGACTCAATAGCTTTCGATTTGTGGCTTCAGAGAGGCAAATATAGCAAAACTTTTGTGAAACTGTACCTATTGGGAAGGAAGATTTTTATTTCAGAAATGTCCTGTTTACAAAATACTTCACCTGCCATGGCTACAAATGAGGTGTGTCACCTCTCTTGAGTTCTAAAGCAGTGTTCTCACTGGTCTTAGAGGTGATAAAGGAAAAAACAATCAGTGAAGTTTCTGTTGATGACTGTGACACGTGACCAGGGAAGCACCTTTCGACTGGGTGCCAGTTTCCATTTCTGCTCCTCATGACCAGCTTCTGACTCCTGAGATACAATCACGCTACAGCTGTTACAGAACTTTCTGGAATTTCCTCCTCAATTCAGGTATATTTAACCATTTCTGGTTCAATTGTAAAGCTCTCATCCTTAAGTTTTGGAACATATGACTAATCAAAATATTTGGGGGGGCGTAGTAGCCTCTTTTTAGACATTGCTAAAACAATATAAACGTTAACTAGAGTAAAAATCTCTGACTTCAAGAAATCAGGAGTTGGTTTTACTTGACTCTTATTAGGTAACGTAATTTTTACCAATACAAGTTTTCTGGGAAGCTGAGTTAATCATTTTAAAGTCTGATAATTAAGTGACTTTGCTCTGATCAGTGTTTTGAAAACTCTATGCTGAGAGCCAAGATTAGAAAACGCAACTAAAATGTCTTCAAACTAAATTTTAGATATTTCAGCATTCACTTTATCTTGATTATTTCCTTTTTTATTGGTTTGTTTGATTTTGTTTTGTTTTGAGACAGAGTCTCCTTGTAGCTACAGAAACTCTATATATAGAACTGGCTGGCCTTGATCTCACAAAGATCTGCCTGCCTGTGTCTCCCAAGAACTGGGATTAAACATGAGTACCACTATGCCCAGCACTACTTACTTTTTAATACTGTGGAGGATGTATATGAAACCTAGAGGCAAACTACTAAGTCAAGACTGTATAAATGGGATATGGATTTTTTTAAGTACTAAAATAATACAGAAGATGCTGCCTTTCAGTCCTAAACTATGGAGTCACTTAGAAAAAGAAGGAAAGTTTATCTTAGCTCCATGCTTTAATCATAAAGTATATAATACTTTCCAGGATCTACAGCTAATACCACTTATATTTCTAGGAGCATAAGCAGAAAATCACTTGACAATTAATTGAACTTCAAAATGTAAGTTTCAATGATTTTAGAGAGGATTATGCCTAAAATTTTGGAGATTAATTAGTTGTAGATATGTAAGTAATTTTTCAGTTATTAAAGACAGTAATTACTTTTTTTCTGTTTGTATAAGGTGCTAGGATAGAACCTAGGGCCTTATGCATGACAAGTAAGCACTCCCAGCTTGGCCTCATTCAAAGAAGAATGAAGTTGGAGATAAGGGCAGGAGCATTACCGGTTCGAGGCCTGCCTAGGTTGTACAATGAAACTCTCTCATAAAGCCAAGGGCTGGGAATGTAGCTCAACAGTAAGGCATTTGCCCAGCATGCAGAAAAGCCCTGGGTTTGATTCCCAGTACAATTTAAAACATGAACTAGATGACTTTGAACTCTTCTAATATTTTGTGTTCTACATTTTTTGGTGGTATGTTTCTTATATTTGGGGCATATCTGTTCTTCAAAACAATTCTTTACTTGTTTGTACCACAACATCCTTTCTCCAACTATAACGCACAATGTTTGCACTCCATCTCACAGCTTTTCCCTTATAGAGATGAATGAAGAGACCACAGCTTTTTCTACCCTAAATGAGAACTCTCAGATGCAGACAGCAAAGAACAGTAGGAAGAATAAATTTTGTTCAAATGAATTGTCATTCAAGGGAGAGAAGCAAAAACACTGCAAACGCCGTAAAAAGCACAAAAATCCAGCAGAAGATGTCACTGGTGAAGGTAGGACACAGTTAACGTATAGAGAATGTTTGAGATTATGTATGAAACTGTGCTATAAATAGGGAAATACTAGAAGCAACAAAAAGTTGTTTTACCTGAGTCTAATTAGAAATATGCAAATTAAAATGAAATATCAATTTAATATAGATTATGAGAAAGGCCAAAGATCAATACTACAGCAATTGGAGATCAGTTAAGATAGTTTAGACGTTTCATTGCTAAAGTAAGAATCACTTTAGATTTGAATGGAAGAATAGACGTTCTAGTAGAGACAAAGGATGAAAATGAATTCCCTGGGTATGAGACTTCAGGAGTCAAGGAGTGAATTACTGGGTGCAGCTGCCTAGAGGACTGGGCTTAGGGATCTTGGTCTGGAGCCTTGAGAATTTTACTGTGTGAGAATTAAACATGTAATTGGGCCCATGATTTCTGAACCAGGGCATTGTATACAGCGGACATGGAATTTTTGATCTTATTATAACCTGAAATAAATTAAAAAATGAACATATTTCTTTCAGATTTGGAACTCAAACTGGATATTAGCAAAATAAAATTAAATCCTCATCAAGTTTTCACGCAAAGTTATAGATTATGGCTTGTTTCTGGAATGTTCCTCTAATTGCTGCAGGGTTGCACTTTCCAGACCCAGTTATCTGGAAGAGATAGGCAGGAATAGATGAAGAAGGTGAACTTTCAGAACGTCACAGACTAATCCACAGATTGCTCAGAAATCAACTGTTGATTTTGGTTGGCTAAGCACTTTTAGTCAGAATGATGCTGATTTGTCTAGAGCCCTCTTTTGTTTTATGCTTATTCTAAAAGCAGGTGTATTCCAGTGAAGGATGCTATTGAAATTGAGAAAGCAGAAAGTGAATTGAATTTTCCATAGGAATTCAGGTTGTCTGAAACCTGAAGAGATTATACTCCCCCAACTCCAAATAAAACAAAAGCCCACAGCAATGAAATGCAAGCCTTCAACACTTTCCTCTAGAACATTCATTTTATAGTCTATTGATCTTTGCTCTTTTTCATAAAGGGAAATAGTAGGAAGTCAGTGGCAAGTATTTGGAAGAGAATTCTGGTAAGTAAATAACAACAACAACAACAAAAGAAAGAAAGAAGCTGACCAAGAATAAAAGGATTGTTAAAAGGCACTGAGACTCAGGGTTAAGTTTGAGTCTATCATGGATGTGAATTGGTCCCAGGCAATTGGACCTGTTCATCAGGCATCTGAGGCATAGACTCAGGAAGGAGGAAGGTAGAATCTCTTAGGTTGAGTGACACTCACCTTATTCTCAACTCTCTTGTTAAGTCTCGTCCTTTCATGAAACACTCGATACATGTTCACTGAGTTAAAGTAAGAAGGCAGGGAATGCGGGAGGGAAAGAATGATCAAATGATATTTATTTGGCTTCAAATTCAGAAGGTAACCATCTCCTTTTCGTACAGGGAACTCAGAGCTGAACCAGCCATTTCCCACCTAGGTTTTAGATAGCTTTCTTGTTTAGCCCACCCCACCTTGTTAGGGTGGGGGCGGGACGGAACAGGGCCATGTCGCAGAGTAGGAGTAGGAGGCAGAAGAGAACTGCAGGCTCAGTTTTTCTATTAATATTATTTTATCCAAAAAACTATGAAAAAAAGCTTTGTACTTCTATTTTTTTATTATATAAATTGTGAATTATTTGCTCATGCTTTTGGTTATTTTTCTACTGAGGTATTTGTACTTCTAGTGTTGATTGCTTAATATCATTTTAAATTAAGGATATTTAACTACTTCCATAGACCATTCCAGATACTCTGGGTTTCCCCATGTGCCCTTCAGTGAGCAAATAAATTTTTATTGTTCAAGCATTTATATTAATGTAACATTATTTCGTTTAAAAATTGGGTGAAAATATTCCACAGACTTAATTATGAGACTCAGAAGTAAATGAGCATCAGGATGCGTTCTTGACCGAACTGTTCCATATGAGTTTAATCTGTTTGTCCCATCGCCTCGCACTGTCCATCCTCTGCCTTGGGTCCTGCTCTGCTGTTGGTTTCTCTTCCGTCTCAGAGGATTACTCGCCTCCGTGGAGGCGCATCTCCGGAGTGCTTGGTGTCCTGTGTCTTCTCCTGATGGCTGCAGCTGTGGTGGTGGCTGTTCTCACTGCAAACTGTGAGTAACCATAGCTCCACTCCCTGTCCTCGGGATTGGCCCACAGCGTCTGCTCCCATCAAAATCCCTCCTTGCTGTTACCACAGCAGGAGTGCTGGTCTAGACTATACGACACTGGGTGGGCTTGCCAGCTCCAGCAGAGGGGAGAAAAGACAACCTTCCTCTTTAATATTTACTTTAAAGTTACCGAATTGTCAGGTGTTGAAGAGATGGTTCAACAGTTAAGAGCACTGGCTGCTCTTGCAGAGGAACCAGCTTGGGTTCCCAGCATCCATATGGCAACAGATAATCATCTGTTAACTAGTTCTAAGAGATCCAGAGCCTCTTCTGGCCTTTGCAGGCACAGTACACACAACTCACGTAAACATATATGCAGGCAAAATACTCATAAACATAAAACAAAAATAAATAAATCCAATAATTTGCTGATTTGTCCTTACAGAACATAGCCTTTTATTAATTCATTTTGATGTGCTGATATAAAAGAAAGAACTAATGATGTGGAATATTTTTGTAGCATCTTCTGAAAGCACTTCTTCGGCAGTCCAGCAAAAAGGTAAGTGTTTTTTTTTTTTTTTTTTTTTTTTTTTTTTTTTTTGCTTGTATTCCCACCTCAAGCAGTTGGGGTTTTAGATATCTTAAAGTATTTTCAACAGAAACCTTGGGATATTTAGAAAACTTTGAATCAATGCAAAATACATCCAAGCTCTAATCACTATGTAGACCAGGCTGGCCTTGAACTCACAGAGATCCGCCTGCCTCTGCCTCCTGAGTGCTGGGATTAAAGGCAAGCGCCACCATGCCTGGCAGGTGTTGGTTTTATACCCTGATGCTGTGCACTGACTGAATCATAAAAAGCTATTTATTGCTTGTATTAGTTCCAGAAACAGCAGACAGAGCCTTTATAGGCAAGTTCTTCAGCTGAGTATAGAAGATACATGCCATGGTCCCGAAAGGAAACAGTTTATATTGATATGAGACAGAAACTTATGTGTAACTAACTGTAAAATAATAATGCAGAACTATTTAGTTTTATTATATACATCTGTATATAATATGTAGATTCTTGTAAGATCTCACAGTTTTGTGTGAGAATAGAATTAACATGAGAAGAAAGTTTGGAAGGACAAATTTTCAACAAAATATTCTAATTGATGCTATAAGGAGATGTTTTTTCTTCTCAGTTCTACAGATGCAAGAAAATTAATGGTTCAGTTATAAGTGTGAATAGGTCTCAGAAGATGTATATTCTAAAACATGAATGATCTGAAAATTAGTAACAACTTTAGATAAAAATAAAACCAAAAGTATGCATTTACAGTTCATAATTTCATTCTAACTATCTTCATTGTCTCTTTATAATATTACTGAAAGACCATAGGTGTACACCTGTTGGCAAGGTGTGTTTTTAAAAACTAATACTCAAAACAAGAGTCTGTGAGTCTCCTCACTGAAGTGATAATCTTTCTCCAGGACCTCATCATCATCCTTGTCCAAAGAACTGGGTCTGGTTCAGATGCCGTTGTTACTACTTCTCCAAGGAAGCTCTGACTTGGAGAGAGAGTCAGCGTGCCTGCTCATCTGTCAATTCCAGTCTCATCAAGATAAACAGAGAGGAGATGGTATGTTGCTGCTCTGTGTCATAAGACACAACATAGCTGGAGTGAGTAACTCGATTACACTGAGCATCATTTATAGTTGCTTAAGTTGAGCACTAGGTCAATGACTGAAAGGTAAAATTGTTTTATCTTTTGTTTCACTTTTCGTGAATAAAATCTAGGCTAGATCTGTATATCGTATAACAAAGAGATAAATAGTCTGAAGTAATATTTGGAATTCCCTTCATGAAAAATATAAATATTGATGGTGGTGGTACAGACCTGTAATCTATCTCCTTGGGAGGCAGAGGCGAGAGGATTGAAAGTTCAGTGCTTGTCTGGGCAACTTATTAAAACCCTCTGTCAAAATCAGAAAGCATAAAGAGGCTTGAGGAATGTAGCTCAGTGGTAGAATACTTTTCCTGAAGTTCAGTTCCCAGTTCCATAAATAAATAAAATTAGTCCAGAAGGAAACAGTTCTTTTCAGTCATATATCAGTCAGAGAGAAAGGAAAAACAAATCAGAACCTCATCGCCCAACCAAGATGGCAGTCATCTTAGTCTAGAACAGTTATAACAGAGAGCATGAGGGAGTTTATCCTAAGTCCAGCAATGTTGCCAGCATCAAGTTAAAGTGCCTATTGATAAATAGGGTCTCCTTGTGATGTCCTGAAGGTGTCAGGTGACGTTAGTCTCCAAGAAATCTATGAAGATTCTAGCTTTTGAAATTTCATTCCTTTTTTTTTTTTCAAATGAACACTATCTTTTGATTCAGGTTTATTTTCTTATATTCTACATCATCCACATTTGCAGAAAATGTGTATTTTTCATTGCTGCATCATCATGTCTAATAATCAGCATACATTCAGTGTGTCTGTGGGCCGGAGGCATAGAATAGGATGTTGACCTTTTAAAAGGTACTTCCATGTAGTTGATGAACAGATAACAATAGAGGTCCTATGTGTTTATGTGTTTTCTTACTATCAGGATTTCTTCACTCTGAAACATTTCTTTTGGGTTGGCGTCTACTACAATGGAACTAGCAAACAGTGGCTGTGGGAAAATGATCTGGCTCAGCCCTCTGATATGTAAGTGCCTACTTAGCATAAGGTGCTTAGTTTAGTTACTGCCTACGAACATCAATAAAGGAATCCTGGGCATAATTTCAAAAATATTGGGGAACTGAAGAAAGAGACAGTTCTTTAAGTCCTATCCCATTTGTAGAGCTTTTCCCTCTATGGGCAGATAGTATTGTTTTATTCCTTCATCTACTCTCCCTTGGGAATTTTTCTTACAAACTCCTTTGGTATCTAGTTCTTTCACAACAAAGTAAAGAAACAGGGTGGTATAAATAAAAAATTTTAATTTCATAGTTCTGGAGCTAGAGGTCTGACTTCAAGATGTCAGCAGTTTGGATCTTCTGAGCTTTCTCCCTAGCTTAGAGAGAGCCCTCGTCTCTCTGTGTCTTTACACTGATTACTTTGATGACATCAACTTGCATTAGGGCTCAGCCTAACAACCTCATTTTAATTCACCTGCCTCTTAAGAACCTTATCTCCAAATATATTCTGGGTACTGGAGTTACAGATTTTTGGGTGCCATAATTAAATTTATAGCACTCTGCCCTCTGACTCTCCCAATGTTATTTTTTTCTTATTTGCAAAAATATATTCACACTGTTCTGAAAGTTTTAAAGGATGTGTCATATTCAAGCTTCACTTTTCAGTCAACGATCTCTTCTAACTTTCATCTAAATCAGATATGGGTAAGACTACAGTCTGACCTGCCCCTTCAGCAAAAGACGTCTCCAACTGTGAATCTGTGAATCTACATAATACCTCTCAGATTTGATCGTGGGATAGACAGACATAAGGTAGATAGTCTTATTCCAAATGGAAGGATCAAAAAACAAGAAAGATGTGTTCAGTCCCAAGCAAGCCTGCAACTTTTATGAGAGCATAGCCCAGCATCAAATTATTTTTGTTCGCCTTTATATTTGCATTTATTCTTTACTTAATTCTAAAACACTGTAGTCAAATATTAATACAAAACAATAGCAAGCTAGTGATTATAGATTTTTGCTTGTTCACCACTGCATAGAAAATGCCAGCAATGAGCGCTATTCCCTGGTTCCAGACCTGAACGGACACCATCCCCAGGAGGATGCTCCCCAGGAGGATGCTCATTCTCACGTGCATCCTCTTTATCACGAGCTATCCTCTCGATTTGGATCAAAGTCCATCAGTGTTTCTTGGTCCCTCTCAACAGTCTCTTTTACTTCCATTTCTCCCAGAAAAGTGTTCCTCCAGCAGAGTTTATCAGAAAGATAGTTGTTTTTCAGGAAATGCTACCTTAGCTAGATGATTGGGCAACTGCTTCTGTATGGCTGATGAGAAATTCAGCATAAAAATTCTCTAAATTCTAGGTCTTAAGAATGAGTCTCTTTAGTTCAGTGATCTTTCCCTTAGCCACCAAAGCAATGGCCCTGTGCTCTTGACTTGGTGTAGTGGTGGCTGGATTACTGAAATCGATGGGATTTTTCAATCTTTGGAAACTGAGGTGTGATCTCTCCTTTCTTTGGAACCCAAGAGGACACAGCCTACTTCCTGTGACAGTGTCTTTGGAGCTGTGGTGGCAGTGGCATCTCTGCCAGCTTTTGAACTGGTCATTCTTCCCACTTCTGGAAGAGTAACATGCTGGTAACTGTCCTGTTTTCTTGGTCTATCATGAGGACTACCACAGATCTTGTAACCTTTCTTTATTTCATCTCATCTTTGTCTCCTTAATTCAACTTGCCAGTGATTTTGCTGGCATAAAACTTCCAAAAGTTTTGTTGGACTCCTAAGGAAGTGGGAGGGGTCTAATCACCAGATACAGGGCTCTCCTGTAGGTTTTTCTGAGTGACTACAGATCTTCTATCCAAGTGATTGAGCAGATCCACGAGTTTCATTCAGTCACTTGAGTAAACCCTTAAGGTCTCCTCTCAGATGCTTTTTAAGAAATAGACAGTCTGATATGGTAAGATATGGTTTCTCATATGCTTTTTAAGATATAGACAGTCTGAGATATTTTAAATTTAATTCTTGGTTTCTTTTTGCATAGCAATTTATCCTTCCACTCAGCTAAATGTTCACATTCATCCTGTTTCACTTCCTGTTAAGAATTAAACACACACAAAGCATTAAACTGTAGAACTTCCTTGCCAGGTTATAACACCATGGCCATTGCCCTAGTATCCAGTGACTTAGTCTCCATTTCCATCCATCCGAGACCTTAAGAGAGCAACTTTAATATCCTTTCACCAAGAGCCTTTTCAAGGCAACCAGGGGCATCTCAAACTCTTACGTGCATCTCAAAAGTCTCATGTCCTCTACACATTATCCAGTTCCAAAGCCATTTGCAGGTATTCTAAGTCTTTGCTATAGTGATACACTTTTACCACCAAAACCTATTTACACATGCTAAGGTTGCTGTAAGGACGTCTACAAACTAGGCAGTTTAAACAACATGATTTGTTTTTGTAGTCCTACAGGCTAGACAGCCAAGAGCAAAGTTTGGCAAGGGTAGCTCCTTCTGAGGCCTCCCTGGTGGGTGGTCCTTTTCTCCCGCCTCAATACAGGCATCCTTTTGTACTTGTGCATGTCCAAATTGCCTCTTAAAGCTTCTTATACAGACATTAACCATATTAGGTGAAAAACTGCCCTAATGACCTAATTTTTAACTTTTAAAGACATTAAAATTTTTTTTACTGAGAATGTCATACAATGCATTTTGATCATATTCTTGCCCCCCACACCTTGTTACCCCCCTGACTTCATGTCCTTTATTAGTATTTGCTTTAAAACAATAAGTAAAAAGCCCGCTAAATCTAATCTGTATTTTCTAAATGCTCTTGGGTGTGGGTCCATCCCTTGGAGTCTAGCCAATCAACTGGGGTTTTACCAGTAAGGAAAACTGACTCCCCTTCTCCCAGACCAATGTGGGTCTCTGTGTGAGTTGCCATTTACTGCAAGAAGAACCTTCTCCAGTGGAGTTGAGAGATGCACTCATCTATGTGTATAACTATAAGCTGTTATGTCAGTTTAATATTATGTCTATTTATCAGAATGGTAGTAGTAGGCTGTTGCCTATTGCCTGTGACCTGTCTAACCATGGGTTTTTGGACATGATAACAGTGTCAGGTATAGACTTCATCTTGTGAAGCAGGCATCAAATCCAATTAGAAGGCGGTTGCTCCCATAACATTTGTGCCACTAATGAGCTAGCTACATTTCTCCACAGAGTTGTTATCATAGCTCTTAGGGTTCACTGATGGGTAAGGTTGACGATTACCTTTCTCTGCCAGTAACATGCATAGCACCTTCCAATGGTGTCTATAATACAGTCACATTTTGTGGTACTGGGCCTAAAGAGTCTAACTTATACATTCTACTACAAAAAATATAATTAAAGTTTATTTTATCAATAATCACATTGTCCCATAAGATCTAACTTCTAATGTACAATTAATATATACTAATAAAATTGGAAAAGATATCTTTTCCTGTGATATGACTTTAAAATCTTTTTCACCTTTACTAATACTCTTACCAAGATAGGTTCACACTGTGGTGTGTAAATGTACTTTTATAGCATAAGAAAAACTTAATTGGGCCTCTTACTTAGTGTTTGGCCTTGTTTTTTATTGCAGTGTCCAGGATACAACCCAGGGCCGTACTCTTACTAGGCAAGTGCTCCACCGCTGAGCTATACTCTCTGACCTGCTCAGAGGCTCTTTTAAAACTATTTAGCTTTTTATTTTATGTGTATGTGTGTATTTCTTGCATGTATGTAAGTGTACCTGCGTCATACAATGCCTGTGGAAGTCAGAAGAGGGTGTTGGATCCTCTGGAACTGGAGTTATGGATGGTTGTTAGCTGCCATGTGGGTGCCGGGAACCGAACTTAGATCCTCTGCAAGAGCAGTCAGTGCTCTTAACCTCTGAGCCGTCTCTCCAGTCCCATTATTTTTTAAAATTTGTTTCTTTACCTTTAAAATTAATCAGCATACCTTGTCCTTAGGCTATTTCTTCTTTGTTTAAATAATAATTGATACTAACAATTCCATATGATACTGGTAGCTTTTCAATTTGCTAACATTATATTATATTATATTAATTATATATTCAGGTTATGGAAACTAAACTGTACTAAATCACAGAAATTGGGTCTTAAATAATTTATATGTAGAGTAAAAGTTCTGTATTCTCTTGGGGGATTTGAATGTTATATAATTTATGATAACTATGCTATTTCTTTTATTTTAGGTTTTGTCTTCATGAATTTCATATACAACAACTCTGTCTTTCTTTTAAATCAAAAGACCTTTGTTTGGCTGAAAACTGTAAAATTAAACAGACATACATTTGTAAGAAGCACCAATTTTATCCTACAATGTCACAAGGGACATGAAAGTTAAACTTTTCTCACAATATATTTATCTAATTATTTTATGAAGCAATTATTTCAAATTTACACCCTTTATTTAATACAATTGTGTACAAATACATTTTAATACTATTATTCAACATTTACAGGGATATACTTATTAATGTGTGTTTTAGGAGACACTATAATAAATAATCTCTGAAGGAAAAAATAGGCTTAGATCAATGAAATCAGGTTAGACCACTGGATATTAAAACCATGGGCTACATAAGGGGATACTCTTATCTCTGCCTAGCATGTGTGAGTGTGCATGCACACATGTGTATATATATATATGTGTGTGTGTATGTGAATGGCTTACAAAGTGTTAACATTTATTGTTAAGTCATAAAAGAGCCAATACAGTAAAAAACACAAGAGTTTTATAAACAGGAACTAGAATGGCTCCAAGACTTTGGAATTAGTTTTCAACTTGATTTCAATACATGCCCAACTGGTTCTATAAGATTTCATGAGACAACTAATTATAGACTAAGGTACAAGTCAGAAATTTGATCTAAAAAAATTTGATTTAAAAATCTCAATTGCTAAATTTTCATTGTGTCTTACATAATATTCTATTTACTTATTTATTATTTATTTATTTTGGTCATTTTGAGATGGGTCGCCCCATAGCCCCAGCTGGTCTGGAACTTGCTATATAGACCAGGCTGCCCTTGATCTCACAGACATCTGCCTGCCTCTGTAACCCCAGGCCTGTGATTAAAGGCATACACTCCCATGCCTGGCTCTTACATAAAAAAATTTAAATATTAGAACGAAAAGTGTTTTTTTTTTTTTTTTTTTTTTTTTTTCAGCCATTTCAAAAGCGTTGGACTGACAGACACAATAATAAAGATTCCTGGTGAGGTATGGCTTTACAGGTCAATAGTATGGTACTTACCCTTCTTTGTTTATTCCACTAAGGTGGGTGTAAATTCATAAGCAAAGACTAAACATGATACTTTACCAGGATATTTATTTTACTCCACTAGAAGCAGTATGATTACAGCAGAAGGTAGAGTTACACTGTCTACGTTCAGTACTAAGGGTTCATTTGTTTTTATCCACGTCTAGTTCACTACTCTTTCCTAAGGATGATGTTTCCCATGTCGTCAGCATAACCAAAAACACACATCAGTAACACTTTGCTTAATAAAAGTTTGTCTTCGGGTGTGGTGGCTCACCCCTTTAATACCAGCACTCAGGAGGCAGAGGCAGGCGGATCTCTGTGAGTTCAAGGCCAGCCTGGTCTACATAGTGAGTTCCAGGACAGCTGGGGCTACAGGGAGACCCTGTCTCAAAAAAGACCAAAAAAATAAAGTTCATCTTCTACTTTGGTATAGATCTTCATTGAGAGTTTTCAAAAAAGTACTTAAAAAAGCAGTATATGAAAGCCAGGTACAGTAGTGCATGCCAATAGTCCCAGCACTTAAGAGGTGGAGGCAGGAGGATCAGCAGGCAAAGGTCAGTCTCAATGACAGTGAGTGTGAGGTCATCTTCAAAATGTCTCAAAAACCTTCCAGAAGATAGCAATATATGTTTATAAATTTATCAATACAGAGCAACTTAAGGTTTCAGAATTTCTCTTGTGACTACAAAGATTCCCCTGAATGTCTCAAAAGCTCTAAGAACATTCCTGTCAAAATGTCCTAAATAGAACTAGACAACATTTCATAACAATAATTTCTATTTCAGAAATACCAATATGCAACAACTTAGAATGTTATTTTCTATAATCATATGAAGAAAAGATGACCAATTAGCATTTATTGGATCATGAGAAAGGTAAATTAGTGCTACCACTACTAATAAAATAATAAAGCTAAAATTCACTAATTTTAATAGCATAAAATGTAAGAAATTCCCCTTTGAGGATTGGTAAAAAGAAAAAAAATCAGAGAACTACTTAGACACAGAAAGCGATGAAGAGCCGGTGAGATGGCTCAGTTGGTAAAGGTACTTGCCGTCAAGCCTGACAAACTGAGGTCAAGCCCTGAAACGCACATGGTAGAGAGAACTGACTCCTATGGGTTACCCAGTGCCGGTGCCAGCCGGCCAAAACGGACAGTACCTGAAAGGGGGAGTGAGGATTGAAAGAAAGGAAAGGAGACAGAAAAGACGCTTGGGAGGGCTCACAGTGAATACTGCAGCTCTGATTTATTTCAGTTCTGCCTTTTTATACAGAAGAACTCAATTAGTGACAACTGTTATTTTTCCCCACCTGTATCTGAGGGTCAAGGAGCGGTCAGATCAAAGGCTTCCACTATTGCAGGTGTTGTGAGGCTCTCCATATAAACATATTCCTCCTGATAAGGCAGATTAGATACTGGTGTGCATAATACACACTCAGTAAACAAGCCTGACACAGCTCAATGATTAGCAGCTCCCGACAACCCAGGGCCCTCCACACATGTGTGATGGCTCCATGAATACACACTAAACAATTTTTTAAGAAAAGAAAGCGAATAATAAGAAGTAAGATGTCACACCTTCTCCTCCCAAGGCTCTGGGATCATTTAGAAGAGGGACTGGAAAAATTGTAAGAACCAAAGGTGGTGGATGAATACAAAGAAACCTTGTTGTCTGGACACCATAGGGTGGCTGTGCCTATGAATCCACAGTGCTATGACAGAATACACAAGACCTGCACAAGCCCAAGCCAGACCAGATCCCAGCATGGAGTGGAGAGATAGGCAAAAAGCTCGCCCTAGATGAAGAACTACTGGCAATTGATGAGTGCTGGGAGAGGGAGAGTCAGTTTCCATTAAGGATGTGGCAGTGGGTAAATTGACTACATTCCAGGGGATGGACTCACACTGTAGGGTTTTGGGGGAGTATGGATTCAAAGGCCTTAAAAAACAATAAAGAACATGAAATGAAGGGAAGTAGGGAGGTTGGGGTGGATCAGAGAGGAGATGGGAAAGGGGGTCTGAATATGGTCAAAATATATTGTACTACACTCTCTAAGAATCAGTAAAATATCGTTGTTTGGGGCTAGAGAGATGGCTCAGCAGTTAAGAGGAGAACCCACATGGTAGCTAATAACACTTCAAAACTCTAGTTACAGGGGCTCTGACACACTCTTCTGACCTCTGTGGGCACTGTACGACATGACTGCACTTACATACATGCAGACAAAACACTCATACACATAAAATAAAAATAAATAAAAATTTAGAAATCATTAAAAAAGAATTCTCTAAACCATACTGAAGAAATAGAGGTTTTTTTTTTTTCAGAAAAGCTGAATGAGCTTAGATTTTATCTAAGTGCTCTTTCCTATTTAGTATGATGTTAAAAATCATCTTTTAAGTGTAGTAGTTAGTAAGCTCTAAAGTTGATTCTTTTACGGTTGTACAATTCTTTCAGACACATTAGCATATGTATTATAATACATTTCCAATTATTAAAATGATGTTCTGCAATTCACCTTGATCAGAAATTGGTTGATAATATGACTGAATTATTTGTAAATGTTCATATGTCATTGATACCAATTTTAAACAAATACAGGTGTGTATACCAATATTATTGGAAAGGGAGAGTGAAAACTTCTGAACCTGTAAAGTTAAAAGTTTCTGTTGAGAGGCTGGAGAGATGAATCAATAGATCAAAGTGTGAAGGAACTTGCCCTCAAGCCTGTGAGGTTTCATCATGTGGATTTAATCCCAGGAATCTAGTGGTGAAAGGAACAAAGTGATTATTAAAAGCTGTGCTCTGTCCTCCAAACATGCATGCAGTGTTATACACACCACACACACACACGCATGCACACACGCACGCACATATACTAAGTAAATGTATAAATCTTTCTGTTCATATCCTCTTCCATTATATTATGAAAATTTCAAGACAGAAAAGGTGAACTCATCTTACAGTAAACATGAATATCTATTATGCACATTGAACTATTAACATTTTACTTTTTTGCTACACTTTATCATAAATATGTCCATCTCGCCTCTCTCTATAGATTTATCAAATGTATATTAAATTTTATACATTTCAAAATACTTTCCATTTGTAATGCAGTTCCCTTGGAGTCCTGCACAGTGCTTATCAGTAACTAGTGTTCATAATTCTTTCTTTGAAGCAATATTCACATACAAGGGAATCCACCAATCTTAATACAATATTCAATGAGTCTGGCAAATCCTGATCAAATCCAGAGTATTACAATGTCCTCCAAGCCCATGCCAGTAAATCCCTCCCCACTCCCAGATCAGAGCCAGTTGCTGTCCTACTTCTCTGCAATAGCTTAGTTTTTCTTATTCCTT